CCTTTCTTATCTGCTTTATTTTTCTTGAGGAAATAAATCACTTGCTAGTAGGTGAGAAGCCATGTGGCTTTAACACATACTCGCTTTTCTTAAAGGGAAAAAGATCATGCTTACAAAGTGATGAGGACAATGCTGTGTCCTTGATTTGTTATTGAATGTGGAAGTAATTTAAGGTAGGATAAAAGATGCATTTATGAAGTGTGCAAACTACAATGTATAAGCTAACAAGTTTTAGAACTGGAATGTACATAGGGAAATTAGTACTTGAGTACATGTTACTCCATGATTGTGAGCTCTTGATTCAAATCCCTTTACAATTCACTTACCAAAGAACATGCATGGGAAGTCCTTTTTTTTTAATTTTTTTTTTTTTTTTATCTTAGGAGATAAAATACAGTAAGCCACAGTAAATGGAATTAATTTCTGTTTCTTTGGAAATCCTTTGAGTGTATTGAATTTCTGTAAGTTTATCTCCCACTATGATTTCAATGCTTAGTTCCTGGTATGGATCTCTTTGAGGATTTGGGCTGAGACCATCTGGGAACCTCAGGTCCAATAGCTGGTGAGCACTAGATGACAAAAGCCAAAGCATTTAAAACACTTCGTTTGGCACTGTAGTAACTGATAAGCTAATGTACAGAAAAAAGAGAGGGAAAGAGAAAAGAGTTGATTATTGCTGGTGCACAGGTTCCCAGTAAATGTAGAGATTATTTTAATCTGAAAGTAATCTCTATTATCTCAAGCAAGTTCTTTTTTCTTAATTTACATGGGAAACAGGTATCTGTTTACTCCAAATTATCTGAGTCTGATTGGCCAGCCTTTCATTACTTCTCCAGACTTGGCACTTTTCCATATATGCAACTAAGAGTTGGGTTTCCTTATCAAATCAAGTATCACGCTTAAAAGATCTGTAACACCCTAGAAACAGCAGGCTTCTAGAATTCATGTTCTGGTTTTACAATTTATTCCCCAAACTGCTGTGTTGTTATTCCACAGTAAATCAAGTGACCCCCAAACAGGATCCTCATTACCTGAATGTTGCTTACAGATAGTTTCTTCTCCTTTAGCATAGTTTTTCTTTGATTTATTTTTTTTTGTTGTTGTCAGTTTAAATCACATCATTTACAACTACATAAATCACTGATTATTCCTTTTTTTTAGTTTAAAGTGCTGTTTGAAACAGAGCTCTGATCTGTTACCTGTTAACTCTGGGTTTTTACCTCTCAAAATATTAACTGTATTTTTTCCACATGTACCTTTTGGCACATGAAGAGTCTGCTTTCATTTGCTTTAGAGCAGCTGAAGGTCTTGTTCTATGAAATTTGTGATTGCTTAGACTGATTGTGAACTGATGATAAACAATACAAATAACTGAGTAAAACAGCAGATAGGAATTAAGGGTGAGGGTTAAACATAGTCAGCATCTGCAGTGACTAATGCTGAGTGGCTTGACTCCCCAGCTAAACCAACAATTGAATTTGATATGCAAGTTCCCTGCAAGTGAATTAGAGCATATCCATGTAGTCAGGCAAAGTCATGTTTCAGAAGGAAGGACACGGTGTGCCTTTGCCTATACTTGATGGAGCATGAATCAGCTTGGGCTCCAAAGCTTTATTGTTTTTTTCTTCTAATTGCTTTTCAACGTTAGTCAGAAAAGGAAAGGAATAATTACAGCTTGATGAAAACTTGCTGAAAAGCTAGTGTAATTACACCTTTTATTTTAAAAAATTCTTAAAGTTTAAGTGCTTTTCTAATAATGTTGCTTGTGGGGGTTTTATAAATCAGAAAAATATAAAAGTTGAAGTAGTAAAATTATAACAAATAGCTATTTTCTGTGGTTGCATTTTTACCACATTGGAATAATAACCCAACTGCTGCATGGTTTAGCTTTGCAGACCCATAAGGGGAGAAGCAGGTTGTTTCAAAAGGTTTGCTAGCTGTAAGGAAATGGAAGATGACGAGAACTTTTCAGGAGTGGCATTTTGTCTGGGTGTAAATGGTGCTTTGTTTCAACATGTAAAGATGAGTTGAAGTGATTTAGCTTTTTCTTGGTGTGTCCTTCTCACCAGGTGACTTCTATGTTGATTTAGCTGCAAAACCTAACAGACTCATGTAGCATTTCTAGTTTCAAATTTGCTTTCTTATTTGACTAAATTTTTAGAGATTTTACTATGTCATTATTTAAACTATGGAATTAAATTCCTTTTCCTTTGTATTTATTACCAAGCGAATGTGTCACCAATTTGGAGTCTGCACTTGTCTGTGGGATTACTATTTCTGATAGCTAATGGGTCCACTTCATTCACCTCTTCAGCTGTCATTTATAGTAGGTGAATAAAAAAGCAGGAAGTCTGAAACAGTTAAAATAGAGCTGCTTGTATTCAGATGCTTGAGTCAGTGCAAGTTTTATATTAGTGTATCTGCATACTTGCGATATTTGAAATATTGGTCTGTGTTTATCTTAGATCCTTCTTATGTTAGTTATAATATGAGGAAAACTTCTGTACACCTCTTTCTGTCTTTACAATTAGAAATAAATTAGAGTTTGCTGCTGTTTGTTACTTCAGAGTGTTAACACAGCAATTATGTGTTTTGAAGGGCTAAAGAGCCAAGACATTTGGTTTATGACTGGTACTAAGATTCCCTTCATAGAGTCAGTGGCCGGTTCATCCTTTTCTTTGGGTTATCCTGTAGCTGTCATAAATGTGCCTAGTTCCTTTTAACCCTCTTTTGCAAATTGCTTTGTTTTTTATCTTTTCATTTTTTTCCTCTGAACTCTTTCTGATTCATAGCTGTCTTTCCAGTTAGACTCCTAAAAATTTAATCACTGATAAGCATGTAGATTCATTGCTGGAGTCAGGAAATATAACTGAGTTCAGACACAAATTGTGTTACTTGGCATAAAGTCATGGGTGAATTTAGTCTGTATTATGAAGCTGATTGCACTCTAACTTTTCTTCAATCTTAAAGGCCAACTAAACTTTATATAACTTCTTTTTAAGGAGCAAAATAAATTTTGAGAAATTTCCAAATGCATTCTTGAAAATGTCCATATTTTCGTTTCAGCTGTCGTAAGAGAATCTTTGCCTCTAGCTGAGCCCAAAATATTAATTAAAATATAAATATTATGTGGCTTTATATAGGAACAGATACATATATATATATATATACTGCTTTATTACATTATCAAGTTCCAGTTTTCCCTACTCCTGAAAATGTGTAGGCTACCTTTTTAGATTATTTTGTTCCAGATGTCTTGGACTCTGACTTTTTAAACTGCATTTTGCTGGTAATTTTTGTTCATTTTACTAATCCTTATAATCCAGAGATTTCATTACCATGCTGCTTACTGTCTTCCTGATCATTATTAGAAGTATTAAATAGGACTAACAATGGTGCCTCCAAAACTCTTATGTTTTTTATTTAATATTATCTTTTATTTGTACTTCTTAAGCCATCTTTTTGTCTGTAGGGTAGACCTTATATCCAACTGATAAGAATAAATTGAGAATAAATTCATGCAACATAGTTTTAAATTTCTAAAAGCCACATATTTTAAATCTGCTAAGGGCCACAACTTAGTAATCATGTTTTGTCAATAAAAATCGGAATGCAATCTCATTCTCAGTCTCAAAGAAGCTGCCTGTTACAAGGTCACTCTTTTCTTTTAAACTTGAGCATTGTGGGCTCTGATGGTGATAGGATTTTGTATTTGTTTGTGGCAGTCTGTTCAAATTAAAAGTATGAAGCTATGTCTTAACTCCTTAATAACAGAATTCTGATCTCAGGAAAATGTCTGATGTGTTCTAAAGCTACACTAAAATTATTAGTTGTGCCAGCAGATAAAATGGCATATTAGCGGGTCTCTGGACATGTACAGGAGAGTTAGATGGAGAGGATTGAGGTCTCCACAAGGAATACAGTAGTTTGTCTTCACTTCTGGTGAAACAAGGGCTGTCTGGTCTCAGAGTATTCTTCCCAAACAAGCAGAATAGTATCTGCAGTAGTTGCAAGTTGACGAGAACAATGAAAAGTTTGTAAACTCTTACAGAAAGGTCATAAGGAAAATTTTATTCGTGTCATGGGGATTGAAATTCCCCTCTCCCAACTATGTTTGCCACAACTACATTTTGCCACTGGCTGCTACTGATTTAAGATCTCGCACAATACTAGTGTTTATTTTTGAGGCCTCTTGCCAGTGGTCCCAGGGGTTATTCTCTGTTCATGTAATGGGTGGCTTGTATCCTTTGTCTGTTTCTGAGAAAAATGGCACACACAAAGAAGAAATAATTATTCCCTAACCCCTCCTCTTACTTCAGTGGGCAGATTTTTTGAATTCTTGGTAAAATTTGAGAAACAAAAATCTCAATTATGACTGGCTTTTTCTTTTCACTGAAAAGCATTTGCATTGCATATAAGACAGTAGTTCTTGGGTCAAAGATTTCTTTGGCAGTATCCATCACAGGACAGGAGAAAATGAGAAAATGTTCTTTCGTGAGCTTGGTTTTCTGACCAGATTAGAGTGTGTTAGTGAGGATTTTGCAGTTATTTATTGACCTTTTGGGACAGCAGTAATTTTGGAAGAGACTAGATTAATTTTTAAAGTGCTCTTGCTACCATACAGTACATAATTTTGTTTCAGGATCTACATCTGCCTGGATTTGCTCCTGCTTTTGTTAACCCAATTAAAATGCTATAATCAAATAAGAAATTCTGGTTCTCTAACTGGTACTGCAGCATATCCCTATTCTTAAATTCTTTTGGACAGAAAGATGTCAATACATGTGTGTATTTTTTTAGAAGCATTGTGCAAGGCTTTTTAATCTTTCGTTTTAATGAAATTACTCACCAGGTAACTTTTTTTTTTCCAGGCTTCTTTTTCATTTGGTTTATCTGCATCTTTTAAAGTATAGATATTGGTGTTCTCAACAATGCAAAATAATATGGGTGAAAATAAAATCTTTTTTCTTTTTTTTTTTTCTTTTCTTTTTCTTTTCCAGATTGTGTAGGAAGAAAACAATGTACGGAAGAGTTAGCCAGAAACTGTTAGACTTCAGCCCAAAGAAGGTACTACTTTGTGACTTATATGAGTTAAAGTCATAGGAGAATTTCTGAAGGTAAATCACGTTGTTACATTTTTTGATATGCTATTGGATTTTGTGTATTTAATTTTTTTAAATTGTGTCTTCTTTCTAAGTGAATTCAGTGAGGCTTATGCATATTTTTAAATATGTGTGTCTTAAAAATAAATATTCTACTAATGAACACAAAAATACACATTGCAAATATATCCAAAATGAACAGTATTCAAAATGTTCATACAAATATCAATGTTCTAACATGTGTAGGATAACAATGAAATATGTTTTTGTCATGTTGGGATAGGCACATCAAAATGCTCCAGAATAACCATAATCCAAAGGAACTTGAGTCACAAACAGTGTCTCTCTCAAAGGAAGAATTCTATTAATGTTATATCGAATTAGTTTAACTTTATTCATAATTAAAACCCTTACCTATATAAATGCTAATGAGCATCATTTGTTGTAATGCATATTTTTTTGAGTCTTACTGACATTGCTAAATTGAAAGGTACCAAGGTAGAATCCCATGGGAATGACAGCACAAAACACAATGCTGATGGCTTGATAAAAACACAAGATAACCTTTAAAATATGCTAACCATGCACACAAATTCTCTCTTCTTGGCGTTGTCTGTATTCATCCTCAGAGCTTTAAGTAGTTGCATAGATTTTAGTCATGGTTTAGCTTTTTGTACTCCAAATACTCTTACTGACTTAATTCAGCCTTCCAAATGTTTAAAATTAGTTTACTCTTCAATACTTTTAACCTAAAAATGAGTAATCAAATAAGTCTGCACCTTTTGTCATGTTGGTATTTTTCACCTGGTTTTGGACAGTACTGACTTGAAGTAGAGGTTTGTTGTTACAAACCTAGAGGCTATGACTGTCCATAAAGACAATGGAAAGACTGCAATTTAGCGTGAGTGGATACTAATTTCATTTTCTGTTGTGTTCAAAACACGAGCAGTGATGGTAGTCAGTTGAAAATGAAAATATAAAATCATGGTTGATATTCCTTTTACAGTCTTTTCTGAAATTATGATGCAAATCTGTAGACACAGTCCAGAGTAAAAATCAGTGGATATATTCCATTATTCACCCATTTTAGAAGATATTTTCTTAATGCCAAAACCTCCTAAGTCTTCACTACAAAAAAGAATATTAAGATAAACTCCTTTATGTGTCCATGTCTCAAAAAAGCTGTGTCTCTCAGTTATTTTGGCCTTTTTTTTTTTTTTTTTTTTTTTTAATTTTAGCCTTGTTTGTTCTTATCTTGATATATGCTTCTTCCTCATAGGTATATATGTATATATTTTAGCAGGTCTTTATATGGCCCCTCTAAAATTATCCAAATAAGTGGAAAAATGGGTTATAAGAAACATGGGAAAAAAAACAAACCAAACAAAAAAAAACAGCACAACTTTTTGACATAAATAGTGGCAGAAAATGTTGCAAAATTTAGGAAAGAAAAAGCAGTAACACTGTAAGACATATCTATGCCTATATAAATTAGTTTATTAAGATGTTTGATCATAAGAACAGAAGAATATACAGCATCAAACCAAAGGTCTGGCTAACTTAGTGTCCTTTTTCTCAAAAGGAAACCAGTATGTCCAGTGCCAAGTGAGTATAAAAACAGAGTAAATCTGTAACAGTGGTGTCCAAGGATGGTCACCCAGACTCCAACAACTTCCAAAATAGTTATTTGGGATTCAGAAGCTCAAAGTGGATTTTTCTTCCATGTGTTTCTACCTGGCTGCTTAAAATATGCAATTTAAAATTAATAAAGCCTTATGAGATATATGTTGGAGTGTATGCACACTTGAAAGTGGTAGGAGTAATTAATTGCACTGTATATGTATTTACGATGGTCTTTCCCAATTTCTTTTTATAAATAGTTAATCTCTGAATTTATACTTTTGGAATGACAAGTGGGCAGATCATGATGCATGAAACCATTTAATTCTTTAGGTCAGAATTATGCTGCAGTTTTCCTAGACTTGTTACTTTCTTCCTATCTTCATCTATTTTCATATCAAAAGGTCATGCATGGATTTTTTTTGTGTGTGTGGACCATGTTCTACAGTGATAATTAGAATGAGCACATACAGCAAGCAGAGTAATTTAGCTTGTATGTACAGTTTGAAAGCAGATTTTTAAGAAAATGACTGCATTTTTTTGGCATGGAAAGCATAGAAACATACGACAATGTGACTGAATATAAAAGAGTTAAGTCCAACTTTTCTGACCTTGTCTTAGAATAAGGTAGGAAATAAGTAATAGATTTGTATATACTAAGGCCAAAAACGACTACTGCAATTAATCTAGCCTGACCTTCTGTCTTAATGTGATCCACTGAGGTCACCTGCATGCTGGCTTTAAATCCAACATTTTTGCTTGAATTAGACAAAGTACTGTGTTTAAACCTATCCAATCGTAACTTTCAATTTACCTGAACTTGAACTTAATGCGAATCCCAGGTACGATATTAATTGCCTCTTATTGTAACAAATGTCTATCTTATTTTGTATGTGAATATGCCTAGCTTCAGATTCAGTAATTTCAGCCTTGTTCTTTCTCTTCTTACCACATTGAAAAGTTTTCTATGCCATCACATTCTGCTCTGCCTGCAGGTCCCTATGCATCACGACGAAATTGTCCCTTAGCCACATCTCTAAGACAAACAACTTGTTTGAATTTTTGATTAAAATTTCTAAATAGACTTTTTTATTCCTTTCTAAATCTTTTCAGTTTTTTCACATTCTTATTAAAAGTAACGCCACAGAATTTTATGTTGCATTCTAGCAAGACTTTCTCTGTAGAAAAATGCAAAATTGAAATATTTTCTGTGCTTTAGAGTATGTAGCTCTTTCAAGCTGTTGCAGTGAGTCTGCACTCCACCTCCCATTTTGGAAGGTCTGATACGTGGAAATGGGTCTAAAAATTCTGTTTTTAGCTGCCTTCTCACTGCTAAAGACAGACAGGCACAATTCATTGCCTTTATCAGAAACTTCAAGACATTGGAAACCCGTACAAACATGTGAGGTATCTAAAGATTTGTTGTGTCTATAGTTTTAGTCACAGGTCTACAACAGTATTACGAAAGGTACTACCTTGTAGGCACTTGAAAGAAGAAAAACATACAGTGATTAAAGATTGACAAAATGTGATGGAGACAGTGATGCCATCTGCTCTGTCTCCATTTTATTACGTTCTCTTAGGATCAGTGAAATATTGATGTCCCAGTGGACTTTGGGACAGCACTAGATGACAGATTAGTGCCTTTGACGGTAAATTTAGCTCCATTCAATCCTTTTCTTTTCATGTTTAGTGTCAAACTAAGGATCACAAGGAAGGATAAGGGATGAAAAAGAGCATTTCTCCATATTTTGTTCACACATTAAACTTCATCTCTGCCCTCCTAGTGTCTCTTTACTTACTACCTCTCTGTCCTGCCATTCTCTGTTCTGAGCCTGATAGATTGGAGTTCTGGACTGAAGGCAACTGTTAGGGGACACGGCTAGTTCAAACTCTCAGCCTGAGGGCTTTCTGCCTTTAAAAAACATGCTATATAACATACAACAGTGGTCTTTTAGGCGGCACACAGTCATAGCAGATGATGCAACTGAGTAGCTGTCTTTGCTATTAAAGCACAGGCAGTATGTGGAGGATGATGTTGAGTAATGTGGTCACTGAATTGTGCAGTGCAACCTGCACATCAGCTGAAGTAGCCATGTCAGTGAGCAGTACAACTGCTTATAAAAATTCCAAGCTAGTACAGATGTTACAACCAGCTATGAATGCACATCAATAGCATCTGCTGAAACAAAACAAATAATGTGAGCCTGAGGCTATATGTGCTCATTGTTATGGTTATCTTTAAAATCTGGCATTTCAAAAACTTAGTACAAATATTTTCCTAAGTTATCCCCTTGGCTAGCTGGCATATGGCTGTGCATCACTCCTACAACCCAATCCAGCTCATTAATTATCACAAGAACACTTCAGACTGATGGTCTTAACTTAAAGTGACTAATCTCTTTTCTGGAATGTTATGTCCAGAAAATGTTTCATTATGAAACATTTAATTTCAATAGCATATTTGAATATCTTGTCAAAGTCTGAGCAATGAAGCTCCAAGTGACTGATAGAGGCAGCTTTTTATTTTAGGTAAGGGCAGAGAAGTAATCTAAAAGCTTGTGTCAGGCATTTGGAGATTTCCTTGTGGACACCAACTTCTCCCTCTGAAACCTGGTCGCAGTGAGAAAGACGTAGGAGGTGTTTCATGTAATTGTTTATTGTTTCAAAGCAATATCCAGGTTTATTGCACTCTAATTATGCAGTGGAAATGGAGTATAAGTGATGCATATGCAATTGCTTGAACACTGACATGTATTAAAAAAAAAACAACAGATTATTTTAATTTTGTGATAAGGTTCAGAGGCACCTGAATCTTAACAATAGGAAGATGTTGAGCTGGATAACTGGCTGCTAACGAGCATTAGACTGTCAAGTCATAAATATATTCCTTTTTTATTATTTCTTTTAAAAGTTAAAAGTGTTTTGTATAAATAATTTAAAAGAAGTTATGTATGAGGCTTCACGGTGGGATTGCTATGAAAAAAAATTCCCTAGTGATATTTGCAGAATCACTCTCAACTTAGAATGTGATATTTTTGGTGTATATTTGGTGCTCAATAGATACAGTGGGAAGTGCCTGACATTATGTGGATTTAAATATGTAGACAATATTGAAATGAAGGAAAAAGTCATTTCTCCACTCTATTTTTCTATTAATCAAATAAGAGCACTGTTGTGATGGGGCATTGTATAAAATCAGAAATATTATTTAAATGGTGCATATCCTATTGTAAAAAGAAAATATTAATGCTGCCTTCATGACTCTCCTTCTAAGAAAATTGTTAGAGGCAGAATTGGTGCAATGTCTCAATATCTTTCATGGCATAGTTAAAAAAAGTTTAT